CTGTTCGGAAACCCGAGGAGGGGTCACCCATTCGTCACTGAAGCCAACACCAGTGGTGTCTGTCTCCCGCGGCGCCCGCTTCAGAGGTCCTCAACGACTTGTAGAGGAGTCGGGTTTCAGTTGCATGTCGTGCACCCCACTTAAGAGCTAGACTTGAGGTCCCTCTTTGCACCCTGTAAAAGGAGGGGGGAGGGGGAATCGAATCAGACCCGTAATTCCAAGTTTTAGGCAAAAACTCTCTTATGGGGCCTTCCCTGATTTTTTTTTTCAATTTTTAATACCAGAAATGTTGAATGTTCAAGATGTTTCAAATTTCACTCTAATTTGTATTTCACAAAAGAGATGGAACTGGAAACATTAGATCATTAGATGCTCACACGGAGTCATTTGCTTAACTCTCAAGCACTTGCAGCACCATCCGCGAGCTCTAAGCTAACAAATGCATCAATTCAACCTCGCTTAAGCAATTTTGGTGCCCCCCGCTATGACCACACACAACGACGACAAATTTTTTCATTGCCATGTCCATGTGCATGTTGTCATCTTCACTATAAAAACAACTTCATAATAAAAGCTCGACTCTGCCATACTATTTCATCGGATTTTCCTCGACTCCTCAAGAGTGGAGGTAGAATCACGACCGTTTGTTCAGTATGTCAGTGCGTTTTATTAATGGATAAGAAACCACATGTGTTTGTGTGTGTGTTGTCATGTTCGCTGTCGAGCGCATCGGTCCCACAAGGGGACCCTCCCGAACGCGTCACGCAGGATTTCGTAGGACTTGTCACGTAGAGTGTTTTGCTGCTCCGGTCGAGTCCGCCAGTCGTACCTCTCATGAGCCCCTACAACAGGATAGGGTCATGTGAGACACAACTTACCTCTTCCCACGTGAGTTGTCACCATCCCTTGCGTGGGCGTATCCCAATCGAGCTACCGGACCACATGCAAAGATTTTTCATATGTTATCGTGGAGGTGGTCCTGCAGAGGGCGTTTCTCTTTCGTTGTAGCATAGGGGATACCCACGGTTAAAGCCCGAACCGGCCCCGCACACGAATCATCGTCGGAGGCGCTGATCTCTTGAACGTGATCCTACTTTGGTCGAACAACCATTCTAACCACGCAATACACTTTCCAACAAAAACTTGTTCCTACTAGCAATATCGCGCCTAGCCCCTTCTTTCGCTTGATGTGTAACTGTTTTCGGACCTGAACGCTCAGACGTCGTATGCAAGACTTTGCATAAATAAACGTCACGTCGCTGGGCTCAATCATAATGACTAGCCATGTGCGAATACATGAGAGTTTGCGATGATGGAAAACTATATTGTGTCCATAAAGGTGCGGTCTCATCTGAGTCATGGGATCCCATTCGACACTTAGATGCCGGCTGATGCGCGCCCTAAAAGGGTTAATCCTTTAGCGAGCACAAAAGTGGACTGAACACCCTGCCATCTTCTACACCCCGCGGTGCCCCAAGAAAGGTAAGGTTGGATGGCGCTAAGGGCAAAATGGAATTTGCGAGCAGTGGTGAGTTGTCTGGCGCACCACTAGCAACACGCTGACCCATCTACCTGAACCTTGTCATTTCACCAAAATAATTGTAAACAAGGAAAATTTATATGTGGGTGATCGTACGAAAAATGTTCATAGGTCTGGGTTTATATAAAAACACGTGTGTGCGTTGGCCACAACATTCGTATGCAAGGAAATGATCAGGCTGTGTGTCGTCCCTTTCGTGAGCGTTTGACCCATAACCTATTTCGTGTGAGACTTCAGGTGTAGTCCGCGCACGAAATATGCTTAAACCATTACTCCCCCCCACAGCCTAAAATCGACTGTCCAGTGAGTTAGGGCCGAAAATGGAGGGGGGTCGGCGACCACTTTGACAAGGGGGAAAAAAAAAAGAGGGGGGGGGGAGGGGGGAAGTTCGCGATTTCAATTTAAAACTCGGCCTACCTGGGTGACTGCAGCACTAGCGGGGTACCACCGTGAAACGGTGCAGACCTCACTCCACAAATCCCGCATGTCCAAAACGAGAGTGAATCATCTGGCAACCTACTTTTGACATGTGCAAAACGAGAGTGAAGCTAGAACATGAAAAGATACACCGCCATGATTTGTGTCTACTGTTGTTGTCGGCGCCCGAAACGCTGTGGCACCCACGGTATCCTTGTTTTTTTGTTTTCTTTTGTGAAGGAAAAGGAAAAAAAAAAACTAACTTAGGGTTCAAAAGAAGAAGGGTCTCACTTCACTACTTTGGACTATGCTGCCAGAGAGTGAATCTACCTGTAGAACATGGAAAGTTGACAATGATTTACGTTTTTGAAGCATGTGGAGAGTTGTGGAGTGAGAGTGGAAATGTCATGGCATCGTGGGATTTCATGCCATAAAAAGGGAAACGAATGTACGACGGTTACGACTGAAAACAGTATAAAAAAAAAAAAAAACATAAGAAAAAGAAAACAGTCAAAAAAAATAAAAAAATAAAATGAAACAACCAAATGTGCCCCACGTAGTACTACCGGTAGGCCAATAGCCAATTGCAAAATTCAGCCTACCAGTCCCCTCGAATTTTGAACTTCGGGGGAGTAGTGGTTTAAGAGGGACGCTTGTGTGAGAGAACGCATAATATTCAGTTATGCGAACTCTCTCGACTAAGTCTCATGACAATGCTTCACGTGATATCCACAATCGTTCGAGCCTCTGCAGTTTTCATCGTTAAATGGCTAAAGGATGAGTCGTTCAGCCCTCACGGCACTTCCGACCCCTAGATAAAACGCCACGATGGGTAGCGTGCAAATGATCAGCGCATAGGGGAACCCATTTGTGCTAAGTTGCAACCTAAAATGTTTTAGAAAAGAACCTCAACTTTCAGGTCCATGACCAACGTCCGATCAACTAATTCAAATAACAAAGATGAGTGTGCACATTATCGCGGGTGTCACGAAGATTATGCGCGCGCAGGTTCACTTAATCATTATGATTACTAAAAAATAAAATGATTCAATCAGTCAAACAAAGAGGTTATGTGGCATCAGAAGATCACTCTCACAATGATATTGTGGTTTGTCCATTTGCATTCACACAATACACACACAATTATCAAGGTTCAATCCATAATCTTTTACACACACAGTTTAAACAAGAACATCGAACACACTAAGGAAATCAACTTTACCATTTTCTGCGACTTATACCCTACCTTATGCACACAAACCCCAACTATTTTTCACCATCCCAGAACAAAGGTACTGACCATTCAAAAAGAAATATGGATAAAAATCTTAAGAAACATAAGAACGCACAAGGGTTAAAGCCTTAGGTTGAGATGCAGAAGCAGATAAGTTGCGTCATAAATTGACTTGTTATGGCTACGAAAGTGCTACCGGGAGTGGCAAGGGTACAATTTTGGGCTCTGTGATCACCTGCGAGTAGTCCAGGCGGGGCGCGGCAGTAAGGGACCGTCCGAACCAGAAAAAGGTTTTTTCGACGGGCATTCAAAGGGTCTGTGCTACCTGTTTGGCGATAAAGACCAGCTGGACGATCTGCTGATACGACGTTTTCCAAATCAAAACGGCGACGTTGACTACGGATACGACAACAAAAATAAGAAAGGGTCTGCAAGTACCTTTGTGCCACCCGACTCAGTGGTGCACACAAGATGGCTGAGCGATTCACTGAACCATGAGGCGATTGATTACCTGCGGCGGCAACAAATTGTCGTAATCGAACCTAAGTGAGCGTCCTAAGGACGAGATCAAGGATTTTTTTCGATATATATATTTTTTCGGTCTATTTAATCGGTTTATTATTTTTTCGATTTTTCTCATTCGTTTTTATGAGGTGCTGTTTCGAGAGTATTTGGAATCTGCACTCCGTGTCCGCCATACGCGGTCTCGCAGTGCACAACGTTTTTTGGTCCAGGGACCAGTTTTTACTGGACCCGGGGACTTAGAGAGTTTCTCGGACATGGAAAGTAGTATTTATCGGAGGGCAGATGCCCTGTTTTTTCAGACTGAGTTGCGTAAAGAAGAAGGTCTGATGCATGATGCTCTGGATCATGCTGCAACAATGTGGTTACACTTCATATTAAATCTCTGCTACATTATTGGTTTTTGAGTTATCTCTCTACCGATCCAAGCGAATGACCTTGCGGTTGTGCCTGGTACCGCTTGCTTGGTGCCGTGCTTTTATACCTCCTAGTATGCACTTATGATTCTGCGAATCTGTGTACTTATGGTGGAGCATGCGTTTCGTCTTTGATTGATTTATTTATTCATCATTCATTATTCATCATTCATTATTCATCATTCATTATTCATTCCTCGTACTCTTATTCATACTCATGCTTGGCTTGGTGTACCTAGGCTTCCATAGCCAGGGCCACTTGTCTCGTCATCGATACTCGCACTGGGTTACGATTACGATAGTTGTTGTTTACCATCGGTAACTCGTCATCATTGACGTTTCTGTGAAGCGATTCGGTGCAACTTGGATGTACGCGAGGGGACTTGGTCGTGGCAGTGGGCGTGGACGCAGGAGAGGAAGGTGGTCAGGTTGTAACAGGTATTGGATGGATTTCCAATCCACGCCACCTGCTGCTCCTAGCGCAACAGTGCAACCTACTCCGTCACTGGCTGTACCAGCTACTGCTCCGCCATTGGGATATCCATATCCATATGGATGGATCCCTCCAGCTCCTGCACCTGTCACCGCGGGAGGGCAACTGGCTCCACCTCCGACTGTACCAGCTACAACTCCACCAATGGGATATCCGTATCCAGTTCAACAACCTCCGATGCTGAACTGAAACTATCCCGAGAACTACGGTGCTCCACAGCGTCGGGACCCTGCAGCAAACGCTTTCCCCGGACCGGGGAATCGCGCTTGGTTCACTCGTCAGCATCCCGAGCTCATTGAACGGTGGAAGTCTCGCGACCTCGAGGACGCCAAGAAGAAGCCTTCGGCTACGTCGGAGTCGGGCGAAAGCAGTAAGAACGCGGCCGTCGCAGCCGTTAGGAAGAAAGGCAGCAAGAACACAGAAGACGGCGAGCAAGGGATGAAGACATGGCTTGCAGAGAATTTTGGCGCCAAATTGAAGAAGATCTAAAAAAAACTAGATTTCGTTGATCGAAAAACAATAGTCGCAGACACGGAGAGGTAGCGGATGATACAGATGATGGCGGAACTTGAAGCCAATGGCAAGGGTGAAGGGAGTAGTGAGAAGCGAAAAAGGATTGTAGGCGTGAATTCCCCGATAGCGGATGGAAGGAAGTCGCACTCTCGTTCGAGGAGCGGAGGTATCAAGATCCGCCAACCAAGTATACTAGTATCGTCTGACGAAGATACTAAGGGCAAGCGACGAAACGCGATAGCTGAAGGGCAGCTGAAACATGCGTCGAAGGAAGCTGCCAAGTTGAATGCTGTCAAACTTGAAGATGTTCTTAAGATGCTTCATGATATCGCCGACAAAGCAAATACGGGCTCATCGAAGACGGTTGCAAGCGCAGAAGACCCGACAACTGGGAAATCTAGTGCTGTGCAAAATGAGGAGGTGGAACGCGTGAAGAGCGAGAAAAACGGAAAAAGTGATGAGTCGGACGAGGAAGAGACTGATAAGCTGCGTGTGAATCGAGGCTGCCATTTTGGTGGAACACGACGAGAGAATGAGATCATTGAATACATGAGGCAACGTCTGGACCATTATATGGACATGAATGGAAAAAAGGTGAAGAGTTTGTGTCAGAAACGAGGCATTAAGTGGGCTAGAAAAGACAAGGGAGCATGGGAACTCGCCAAGCAAGATACCAAAGAATTCACTCGGCTGATGAACGGGGATGAAGACGGCGACGCCGACGATGCAGATACTGAGACTGAGTCAACCCACGAAGAGCCAAAAGACAACGGTGTGAGATCTGATGGATCTGACGATGTGTTGGGAAAGTAGTCCCGACAAGAAGAAGTTTGTTGCGTGCGCTACGACGTATTTGCACCACTATTCCTGAGTACGATGAAGCTGACAGGGCCTTACTCGAGTTTGTTTTTCGGATCGGGACATTGCTCTCGTGTTTTTTGGAATACAAGCGATGGGGTTTAACGTTTACCAAGTACTGGGGGGAATTAGATGTCGATGTACTCACGACCGGGAGGGTTTCTTCGTGCATTTATGTATTGATTTCCCCTTTTTGCAAACTGACGTTTGTTGGTCAAACTGGGCGGTGCCTTTCTGAGAGATGGCGAGAGCATGTTCGTGCCTCTCTAGACGGATCTATTTATAAAGTACATAAATGGATTAATAAAATAAGACAGGAAACATATTGCGCTATTCCATTATGGTTGGGATCGAAAGATAACCTGCTATATATGAAAAATAAGATAATTTGTGAAACCAACCCCGGTTTGAACACTCGCAGATGTAAACGAAAAACGAAAGCAAGGAAAATCAGAAAGAATTCCAAAAGGGGAACTCCGACGCAAGCTGTTGTGTGGAAGCCTATATTGTTTTCATCAGACTCTCACCCCCAATGTACTAACCTCATGAAAGTGTTGAAGACCTCCAAAGGTTTGAATCGGCCTATTCATATTACGAGCTATGGGGGGAATAAATGGATCATGCCATGGAGGCTCGTGAGGCTCGTATACGGGGACACGAAATTGGTGAATGAACAAGGACGTGCTGTACTCAAAGATCTAAAAAGTGTGTTTAAAAAGGGTGGCGTATGGGAACTCTCTTGCTTGGTGCGAACCGAATCTGAGGCAGACCGAAGGAAGTTTGAGTTGATTTGACTCCTGAGGGCCCCGTGGAAACGGCGGGACATCCTACAAAAGGACACCGTCAGTCTACTTAGGCTTCTTAAGGGATTAAAATTAGTGAATACTAAACGTGAGAGGCAAATTATTCGATCATTAATCTCGACTGCATTAAAAAAGAAGGTAGGATTCAACCCCAGGCAGATGATTGTTGTGAAAATGCCCTTCTGCCCAACAATCGACAAGAGTTGTGTGCGCACTAAGGTATGTGGCTGGTTGGGGGACAAGATTAAATCTCCTGAGTTGGCCGATCTGATGCAGAAAAAGTTGCGTGTGGTCTTTACAAAAGTTAGGACTGTCGATGACCTTCTGCATAATCACAAGTTGACTGCATCTCACGACGTTCAGAGTTGTGCATGCCACTTATTTGAACTGCCCAAAATCGATGGGCATGTACGGGTTCGACTAAATGAACTTGAGGAGATTAAGTCTTTTCTCTATAACTCTAGGAACGTACCGTAGCCAGAAAGGATTGTGAATTTGCATGTTGTGAATGAGGCTTGTCATATCGCTCTTAAAAACCTCAGGAAAGCCGGGATCAATGATGTATGTAAGATCTCTCCTTTGAAACTGAGAAGGATAGGACCAAAGGATCTTCCAAAGGATGTTGTGTCATGTGAATACGTACTAGGAGTGAAGGAAGCCTTCAAAGGCCTCACCCGCTCTCCCGTAGACCGTAACCCATGTGCGACATTGGTCGAATGTCCTAAACTGTATGGTTTTGGGATGAAAAAGACATTCAATGATAATCCAGATTTTGAGGAGATAACAAAAACCGATGACGAAATATTATGCAGAATGAGGAGGGATTTCAAATAATTAAAACTGGAACGTGTCAGGAGATGGGATAACAAGGGAATAATCCAAAATGCATTTATCATGAGTAAAGAAAAGGACCTGGACAAAAAACGACCGACCTGTCCATCCTATCTGAATCCTACCAGGTTTGCTGCTGATAACCTTGTAAAGGCTCTGAATTGTATGCTTAAGAACGAAAAGCACGGTCACTTCAACTATGTTGCAGGACGTGACTTGAAATCAAAATTACAAATGGTAAATGCTAAGGCAGATAAAGAGAAGTTGGATATCCAGGCACGAACCTATGATGTGAAAGAGATGTTCTAAAAAATTCCGCATGACGAAGTGAGGGCATCAATCAACTGGATTTTTGAAAAGTACGTGAATCAGGGGAAGCATTGGGTTCGGGTAAAAACACAGGGAAATAGTGCTGTCATTGGAAAATCTGCAGGCGAAAAAGGATGGAAGTCCATAAGACTGGTGACTTAGAGAAGCTCACCTCATTCTTGCTGGAGAATTTTTTTTTTAAGTCGGTCGGTGACATCTTGAAGTAGAATAAAGGAATCCCAATGAGTGGGCAAGCTAGCACGCCCCTTGCTTCGCTTGAATGTATGTTCACCGAAAACAGGTTTATTGAATCTTTGGGGACAGACAGGAAGCGCTTGTTTGGAAAAAGGTACGTGGACAACCTGCTATTGGTTGGGCTATCAAAGGTCGGGAACAAAGATGACCAAGTCCGAACCTCCATGGTAATGGACAAAATCACTGAATGCTGTCTGTGGCTCCTAAGACGGTCACTAGAAGGGTAAACTTTAACGGTTCTCCTTAACGTGAGCCGCCAAGAACTTAGCGCCTTCCGTGACTAGCACACGTCCATCCCCTAGGAGGTGGTCTGCGATACCCCTCGTCCTCGCCCGAGCGAACCTCAGATTCCAGAAGTTGGGCTGACCCCACCACGACAGCATGGTATCCCCCCGCCTAAGCGGTCCACTCCGAGTCGTTAGCAGGGTCGGCCCCTAAGGCAACGAACCCCCGCCTCAGATGCCTCCTAGGGAAAGGAAATGCATTTACCACAGAAGACGGTCAGCCTTTTACCGCCTGACGTCAAGGGCGAACCTAGACGAAAAAGGAGATCACAGAGAAGAAGAACCTTCGGATGGACGGGTATAGACAAATAGGGTCGTTTAGGAAAGAATGGGCAGCCTCAGAAAAAAGTCTATGTCCAATTAATTTCTTCTTCTTTGTGTGATAAAGTTCCTTTTCGTCGTCCACCCATTGTCATTCCTTTCAACATGCATGCAAGCGAGAAATAGAAGACAACCATCCTTTCATTCCCTTCCATTAACATGACCAGATCTTCCATTCTCAGACATCCTTCTACCTACCTGCACGTCAAGCAAAACAACAAGTTCAAAAGAAAACAATGCATTCCCAAACTCATGTCAGACTTTCATTCACACGTGTAAACAAGACACAACTTCCTCTACCTTTTCAGTGAACGTCTGAAGAACAAGGTCAAGCAAGTGCGCGTTCACACAGGTGTGAAGGGTCTGAGTGAAACTGACCTTAAGTGAAGTTGAGATGAATGCGGCTCACTCAAGAAAACCGCGTAGAATCACTCCTTTTAATGAGTAGGTTGTCACGCAAGCCGTCAACAAGGCGATCACCACCACTCCCTTAAAGATGATCACTTGCCGTGATCCTCACACGATCACTCACAACTACTAGACGATGCTCCAATGCAACCGTCTCTTACCCTAATCTCGCCACGTCAACCTCACCACACTCTAAAATGTAGCTCCACTCTTATATATTCCCCCTCGCGTCAATATCTGATCGCCACCTTATGCAGCCAATATTATGAAAACCCCCACCACTACCGTAAAAACCCAGCAGTACTTTCTCACCACTTCCGTTAAGTCTAATGCCGCTACCGAAAAATTCGGCGATACTTTCTCGTCACCGCCACCAAACCCAAAGTTGTACCCAGTATTTCAGCAGCGCTTCCGCGTTACCGCCAAACAAACAATGTTGTCGCCGCAAAAAACGGACAACACTTTCTTGTATCACGCCGACTCCAAGTGCCGCCGCCACAAAGGTTCGGCAACGCTTTCGCGTTGCTGCCCAAAAGCGCTGCCATCACAGTGACAAAATGGGCAGAGTCTCCCCTGCACCGCAAAAAAACTATTGCCGCTCCCGTCCAAAATGGGCAGAGTTTCCCCTGCGCCGCACCAGGAAAATGGCGGCTATGGCAGCCCCTCCTCTCTTGTGCGCACTGCAGACCTCTGGCGCTCTCTCTCTCCCTCTACCCCGCTAAGATGGCGGTTATGGCTGTGTTCCACAACTATGGCCACCTCCAGCAATCCTCCCCTCTCTCTCACTCCAGCCAGCAGCAACTCCTCCTTTCATTAGCAGCACCTCCCAACAGCAGCAAGCCAGCATTCACTCAGGTGAATTGCTAGCAGCACCATCCACAAATGATTGCTGACTGGCTGCTTTCTGGCTGCTTTTATAGTTGTAGGAGGTGGTGCTAGCAGCCTGAGCTCTCAGCCAAAAATTCGAGCTCAGGCTAGGCCCTTGATCTCTAGGTGAGATCAAGGGCACATACCAGCCCACACAGCAGAAATGGCCAGGCCCATTCACAAGGAAAAGGACCTGGCCCTTTCCGTATAATAAATTCAGCAAGGGGAGGCTTTATTCAGCCATCTCCCTTGTTGATCTGCTACTGCTGAGGTTCAACCTCAGCAGTGCACCTTCTCCTAGGCCTGGCCAAGTTCAGAGTTAGGTTCTGAGCTGGTTTGCTGCACAACAAACCACTCGAGAACCTGGCCCCGACCGCGGTCAGGTTCAAATAATAAAAAAAAGGAAACTCTCCCCTTCCCTAAACCTGGCCATGTTCGGTGCAAACCCCCTAGCTGTTGTTCCATCAACCTCGTTTTTCCTCAGTCTCCCTCCCTTTTTTTTTTTTTTTTTTTATCAAACATGTCAAGTATATTATCAAAGCGTTGAGCAAGAGGCCGGGGCCCTCACAATTCAACTCTCAGTTATCCCGACAGCATCAACCGTTTTAGCTTATGATGATCACCACCTTGTCTTCAATTACAAAAAACTTAAACTTTTCCTACAGCACACCACAACAATCCTTCTACCTATTCTTACTA